GCAGCGGGAACTGTAGAGCTGCAGGCTTCTGGGCTGGCTGCCAACCTCTGGATAATTGCCATCAGCGGGAAAGATCGAGAGGAGCTTGGCAGAGTCCATCTTTTCTTTTCTTCCCCCAGATTGGTTAACCCCTTTCTGCCTCTCTGCAACAGAATCACCACCCCAGAGGAATTCAGATTTCTACATAACCCGCCCCTCTGCAAAAAAATAAAATAAAATAACCACAGGAAAGTGGGGAGGGGAAAGGCATTGAAACGGGGAAGCAGCGTGCTTTCCAGAGAGAAGGACGGGTTTCGAATTTAATGCTCCTCCACTTGGCAATCCCAACCCATTCTCCACCACCTCAGACGTTGCAGTGCCATGTTCAGCTCTGTAATTCGAACACGGGTGATTCCATTTTATGTAGACAGTGGCGAAGCCTCTGGCAGGGATTGGCTTCAGGCCTAACTCGAAGTTACAAGGGATGCCTGACGACTGCCAATCAAAGTCTCCCTTGGTAATGTTTGGTTTTTTAAAAAACAAAACAAAAGGCATGCAGCCCTATGACATCATCTCATCCGGCATTTTCCTGCGTCCGCCAACAAACCGAGCTAGGTGATGTCACAGTTGCACAGTCCTTTCATGGGGCGTTGCCAGGGAACTCTCCACTTCATTCAGGCCTGTCCACTTCATTCATGTCTCCGTTGCCTGGCTTTCTCAGCTCGGAGGTCTGTTGCCCGCAGGAGGGGTAGGGCTAATGAAAGCACTATGTTTCTATGGCAACTTCAGCCACGTTCAGGCCAGAATGACCGCTCCCCACATTAAATGGGGGGCGCCCTTTGCATGGCCGCGCACAGCCCCCTGGACCCTATGTGGCACCATTAGCACAGGCTTGGCTTCGCCTTCCCCAGGTGGGATACCTAGAGGTCTCTGCCTACCTCAGCCAGTTGTCCAATCCGGCCTGGGGAGGCATTGCCAAGGTGATCAGGCCAGGTACAGGGAGGGACCACCCTGCCCACACAATAGGGGAAGGATCTTACCTGGGAATCGTCAGTTGGCTCCAGAGCTTCTCCCACCCTACCCACCCTCAATTAAGACTTCTTTTGCAGGTTAACCTTTTCTCCACAGGTACGTGGGCGCTGCTACGTCAAGGTCGCTAATGAAGGGCCGGAAAGGAATTCTCCTGCATTGGCAGGTTTGCCTTTCCCGTAGCAAAACGTCATCACTTTGGCGGTATCAGGTCTTGGGCGGAATCCTTTAGTGTATCTTTCCTAAATTGGGGGTGGGCATGTAGCGGTGACCCACACCCCCTCCTCTTTGTGGCAGCGATACCAGGGTTCCCCGATAAAAAGGGTTGTTTTGAGGGGATGCTTTGGCCGTATGCCTAGAGATCGTCATTGCTCTCTCCTGCGATGGTGGCGTAACAGGGGCGGTCTCTCTCTGCTTGAACATATGTTCTCCAGAGCCAGCCCTTCCCCCACACACACTCTGGATAACCCTGATGTTCCTCAGATCCCCGGCGGGGGACTGGGAGGGATAAACGCCCAATGCCTGAGCCAAGGTCTACCCACATCTGAAACATAATACGGTTGTGGCTAATTTTAATCCCATAGCATGTTGTCTTGAGTCGTTATTCCACACGGGGGCCGCCTAGGGTTTGGGGGACTCCGCCTGTCCACGCAAAGCTCAAACGGTGGGCAGGTGTGCACACCGTACCTTAGCTGTGCTTGTCGGCCTTGCTCTTCTTGCGATGGAAGAGAGAAGGTCTTCAGTCATCTCTTTCTCACATTTCCTGGAATGCAAGCAGAAAGCTCACACTATCAGGTGTGATCCCTGATTGCACAGAGGATCCTTTTTGTGTGCAAGTAAATGCAAGTAAAAGATGCCGAAAGAACATTTCCCATTTAATATGAGAAGTTTGGAGGACTGAATGGCTGGGCCAAGTGGTCACAGAGGAATTGGGGGCAGGTCTTGTTTCTGTTCCCTTTCTACACTTTGAATGTGTGTGTGCTCAGGCAAATGCCATTGCCTGTTTGTGTCAAGTCCTGGAATTGCTTCAGGGCAATATTGTTGTTGTTGTTGTTGTTGTTGTTGTTGTTGTTGTTGTTTAGTCGTTTCCAACTCTTCATGACCCCATGGACCAGAGCACGCCAGGCACTCCTGTCTTCCATTGCCTCCCACAGTTTGGTCAAACTCATGCTGGTAGCTTCGAGAACACTGTCCAACCATCTCGTCCTCTGTCGTCCCCTTCTCCTTGTGCCAACATCAGGGTCTTTTCCAGGGAGTCTTCTCTTCTCATGAGGTGGCCAAAGTATTGGAGCCTCAGCTTCAGGATCTGTCCTTCCAGTGAGCGCTCAGGGCTGATTTCCTTCAGAATAGATAGGTTTGATCTTCTTGCAGTCCATGGGACTCTCAAGAGTCTCCTCCAGCACCATAATGCAAAAGCATGAATTCTTCTTATGGTCCAGCTCTCACTTCCTTCATGGATCACTGCCTTGTCGTGGCGAAGGGGCTTGAATAACTCAGAGAAGCTATGAGCTATGCCTAAGGTGGACAGGTCATAGTGGAGTGTTTTGACTAAATGTGATCCACCTGGAGCAGGAACCGGCAAGCTACTCCAGTATCCCTGCCAAGAAAACTCCATGGACTAAAACAGGGCAATATTACTATTATTGCATTTATATCCCACCTTACTCTAATGAGGTTCCAGTGGCTTTCATGGGTTTCCAGGCGGGAGTTGATCACAGTGAGGGTTTGCCAAGCATGCCTTCCTCTTAGCACTTTTCCCCCTTTCGTCCTGATTTCGAGTGTCTTCAAAGCCCATGACACCTTTGATAAAGGCCGTTCTCCAATTGGAGCACTTGCAGGCAAGTGTTTCCCAATTGTTGGTGTTTATACTACATTTTTTAAGATTTGCCTTGAGACAGTCTTTAAACCTCTTTTGTTGACCACCAGCATTACGCTTTCCATTTTTAAGTTCTGAATGGAGTAGTTGCTTTGGAAGACAATAATCAGGCATCCGCACAACATGACCAGTCCAACGAAGTTGATGTTGAAGAATCATTGCTTCAACACTGGTAATCGTTGCTTCTTCCCATTTTATCCTCACAGTAACCTGTGAGGTTGGTTATGGTGAGAGACAATGAGTGGTCCGAGGTCACCCAGTGTACTTCATAGCCATTTTCAACCCTCCTTTTAAAAACCACAGCTCCCACAGAATAGCAGAACTGTAGACTTGGAAGGTACCATGAGGGTCATCTAGTCCAGGCATGTCCAACAGGTAGATCATGATCTACCAGTAGATCATTGGACATCCGTGGTAGATCACTGACTCCCCCCAAAGAAGCTCAACAACTTTGTCCTGAACCCCCCAAAACAGGGCTTTCCTTCCTAAACAAAGCTCAGCAAAAGGGGTAGATCACTGACAGTTTTTAACTCTGCGAGATCACAGTCTCTTGGGAGTTGGCCACCCCTGATCTAGTCCAACCCCCTTCAATGCAGGAATCTTTTGCCCAATGTGCGGCTTCTGAGATGCTCTACGAACTGAGCTATCCCTGTATCCTTTGGAAGAAGCCATCACTGTTTTAGTCCAAAGGGCACCAGGTTGGCAAAGGCGGTTTTAAAGACTGGGGTATCAAGTTCGGTATAATCCTGTGATCTGCCCAGTTTCTTCTTCAGCTGCACCAAAAGTATAGGAAGCTTCTTCAGAAACTGTAACAGAATCAACCAAAATCAGTGAAAGAAACCACAGTGTGTGTGTGTTTTTCATGCCGCAAATGCCACACAGCTGTGTTATGAGAAGACAGGGCTGTGCTTGTATTCAGGTGGGAAGGCTGCGTCAGCAACTGTGTTTATTTTGGAGCCTACCTTTTCCAGCTACAGCCTCTAATTGCCATTAAAGCTATCAAGCATATTGCAGAAATCTTGCCTTTCCATTAGAGACGCCTGAGGAATTTGATTTCTGTGAATTCTGCAGCGCACTGATTTGATCTGCACCTCCTCGACTGATCTTCAGGTCTGGTCGTAATTACCATTCTCCAAATTTTGCCTTATAGTTCCTGGCTAAGATAAAGTACCAAAATGTATTTAAAGAATAAAATTTTAAACATACCAGAAATTTAGGTTTCTACGATTGCACTCTGTTGCAACAAATCAACCTTTATTTTTATTTTTAAATTACTTTTTGCAGTTAGGAAAGTGATAAGGAAATGCACCAAAAAGCTTGAGATGAAGAAATTATTAATGGGAAGATGTGCAACCAGTACATGAGCAAGTAAGGATGATTTGAGGATGCATGCTCATTGCATGATAATCTCTCTGCAAACAAAGCAGAACAAATGCCCAGTAAAGAACAGGTATAGTTTAACCTCTGTGTCAAGTTTCTGTAAGCAAATTGGGATAAATACTCATTAAACAGGTCATCTGGTGAAGCCCTAAGATAGGTATTTTTATAGGCAGGAGAGTGCCAGATGTCTAGGGCCTCACTCAACAGAATGTAGAAGGTCTATAATACTTTTTGCTATGGACTTGACTTGAGTTACAGCACAGTCTTCAGGCTCGCTGCTCTCTTCCCTCAAACTGTTGGAGGCCTATGTTATGAGCCCTGCTAGGGAGTTGCATTCGTTGGCATCCATCAGTCTTCAGAGACAATGGAAGATTGTACCTTTGGGGGGTGAAGTCAAGCTGTTAGATGGTTGCAGCACCTGCTGTGTAGAGACAATAAGGGAGAGACATGTTTTGTTGCAGCTGGAGCAGATGAAGGCATCCAGTTGTACTGCTGCAGATGCACCACAACGTTTCTTCTCTCTGAGCTCCTCCCATTCCTCCTCTGGTCACTGCTATGGAAATAATAATAATAATAATAATAATAATAATAATAATATATTATTTATACCCTGCCCATCTGACTGGGTTTCCCCAGCCACTCTGGGCGGCTTCCAACAGAATATTAAAATACAATAGTCTATTATACATTAAAAGCTTCCCTAAACAGGGCTGCCTTCAGATGTCTTCTAAAAGTCTGCTAGTTGTTTTTCTCTTTGACATCTGATGGGAGGGCGTTCCACAGGGCGGGTGCCACTACCAAGAAGGCCCTGTGTCTGGTTCCCTGTAACTTGGCTTCTCGCAGTGAGGGAACTGCCAGAAGGCCCTCGGAGCTGACCTCAGTGTCCGGGCTGAACGATGGGGGTGGAGATGCTCCTTCAGGTATACTGGACTGAGGCCATTTAGGGCTTTATAGGTCAGCACCAACACTTTGAATTGTGCTCAGAAACATACTGGGAGCCAGTGTAGGTCCTTCAACAATCTGTTGTTGTTCTTGTTGTTGGTGGTGATGGTGGTGGTGTTGTTATACCACCTTTTTCTCTGACGGATTCAAGGCATCCCATCCTGTTAATGAAAGTGTTGTATTAGGGTTGCAGAATCTGTGGCCTCTAAATAATGCTGAACTACAACTCCCAGCACTCCTGAGCATTGGCCATATATTAGGAGACCCCTATTTCCTTCACAAAGCTACAGTTTCCAGAGTTCCCCAGGAAGAGGGGTTGACTGTTAAACCTCTCTGATAATTGTAGCTCTCTGAGCAGAACAGGGGTCTCCAAACAGCTCTCAGCACTCTGAACAAACTATAGTTTCCAGGATTATTTGGGGGAATTCGTGACTGTTTAAAGTGGCATGATACTGAAACGAAGCTATCGTTTGAAATTCACACTTCCTGAATTTTCACAACGCAATTCTCCAATGTACGAAAAAAGCATATTTTGGGGGGGGGAGTGTGCAGAAAAGTGTGTCGCATTAAAGAAAATTGCCTGTAAAAATGTGTAGGTTGAAATTCACGCAAAAATGCATACACTTTTTCATGCAGATTTTTTTTTTTAAGTTCGCAAACAGTGTGAAAAGGGGACGAAATGAAATTGCTTGGGGGGGGGGTATGAAACTTATATTGACAGATTTGTTCATTTGTATCTCGAACCTCAAAAGAAAAACATCCCAAGGCATTTGGCCCAGTAGTTTTGCTGTGGCTTGGAACAGCTTCTCCTGAAATATAAGTGTTATGTTAAAGTCATATGCTGATGTAAGCCGCTGTGCTGCCAAGCTTTGATTTTTTGGTCACTTGACAAGCAGCTGCTGTCTACCCATATGGCACAAAGGTAGCTATTAAAGATGAATGACGCGCTTGTTTGATTTGGCGTGTGATACGGAAGTTTTGGAGATAAACAGAGAGAGAGGCAGGTGTGGTGGGGGGGGGGTTGCATATAACAAGCTAAATACAGTTCATTTTTTGGTAAAGTTTAAAAACACGCCCATCTTGAGAGAAACTCTCTTTTTAAAAAAGCCAAGTAAATTGAGGAATAAAACACCTACTCCATATTAAAATTATTCAGGACTAGCATAATTCAAAAAATAAAAAGACGGATAATAGTAGTAGTAGTAGTAGTAGTAGTAGAAACTGTGAGGATGATCAGGAACATATCAGATACGAAATCCTATTGAACTCAGTTCTATTGGCTCAATCCTATTGAAGTCCTATTCTTATGATTGTAGTGTAAGGCTGCACAGTCAATAATAATAATAATAATAATAATAATAATAATAATAATAATTTATTATTTATACCCTGCCCACCAGACTGGGTTTCCCCAGCCACTCTGAGCAGCTTCCAACACAATATTAAAATACAGTAATGCATCAAACATTAAAAGCTTCCCTAAACAGGGCTGCTTTCAGATGTCTTCTAGAAGTCTGGTAGTTGTTGTTCTCTTTGACATCTGGTGGGAGGGCGTTCCACAGGGCGGGCGCCACTACCGAGAAGGCCCTCTGCCTGCTTCCCTGTAACTTGGCTTCTCGCAGTGAGGGAACCACCAGAAGGCCCTTGGCGCTGGACCTCAGTGTCCGGGTAGAACACCTGGGAGTAAGCTCCTTTGAATACAGTGGGACTTATTTCTCAGTATACAGTGTAAAGCTCAATTTACAATAAAGGAAGCATTGCAAATAAATAATTTAAAGTGGATTGGTGACATCTTCCTTCAAAATTCACCATTTCCCACTTCACCATTTCCTTCAATGGGTGCAGGTGTTTTATTCTCAGTATAAACAGGACCTACACAGAGAGAGCACAAAGGCTCCTGTTTCCAAAATGGACAGGAGCATGGGGGGGGGCTGATCTCTGCACCACTTTTAATTGTTCTTAGAGACATAGAGGGAAAGAAAAAGAAAAACTGGGCCATTCCAAGATCAGACCAGAAACCAGGATGGCTTCTGTCATTTTGGGACTGACCCTGGAAAATCTGGAAACTTGGAGGGTATTCAAAGGGGACCCAGATGGAATGCAAGGAGATATTCCTTATAGCTTGATAAACAATGCTGTCCAGGGTTGTAAAGACTGCGGAGAAAATAATTGGGTGCACTCTTCCCACCTTGGATCAAATCTACGCTTCCAGGTGCCATAAGAAAGTTGCAGAGATAGCGCAGGATAGTGCACACCCTGGAAACGATCTCTTTCAGCTTCTGCCTTCTGGAAGAAGGTACAGGGTTATAAAGAATAGGACTAGCCGCCTGAGAAACAGTTTCTACCCAAATGCGATTTTGGTTTTAAACGCACTGTAAGGAGTCTGTATGGAAGTATATTGTATTTAAAAATGGGGTATCAGAGTTTTTAGGGGGCTAACCAGGTTGGGATAGCTGGGGTAGCAGGCTTGTTGGGTTTTGAATGTCTTATGTAGATTTTTCAATTTTGTTGTTCTGTATGGGACTATGACAATAAAGATTATCGTATTGTATCTTATCGTAATGTAACATGTGTCAGAAGCACAGGGTAATGCTTTCCTGTTACCCATGTCAACTCATTGTAACCCATCCTAGTTACCTTATCAATAATAATCTGCTCCCTTCATCAGGGGCGGCGGAAGGGGAGGTGGGGGCAGTCAGCCCTGGGTGTCATAACTGAGGAGGGTGACATCTGGCGAGCCACCCGCCCGCGACTCCCAAGCCTACCCTGAGCCGTCGTGGGAAGGGGCAAAGTTGCGCCACCTTGCAGTCGTCCTTCCCCCCATGACATTAAGAGTGCTGGAGGTGAAATAGTTAAACAAGTTACCCAATCAGAACCCAAGGGGGTGGAGTCAGAGGGACTATAAAACCAGCTCTGGGAGGGGCGAAGGGAGGAGTTCGTTGGGAGTTGGGTGGTTGGTTGGAGTGGGAGTGAATTAATAATAATAATAATATTTTTTATTTATACCCCACCCTCCCCAGCAGGGAATTGGGATAGAGTCTGTGGGTAGGTTGAGTTAGTATAGCGAAATAAGTTGAGTCAGGAACAGTTAGGAGCTAGGAAGACGAGTAAATATCTGAGAGGTGGTTTAGTGAGTGAGAGCAGGGAGCGGAAGTTATAGGTCTGGATAGGCACCCCATGATTGTAATTGACCGATATCATTTATGAAACCACACGCTTGTTAAACTGCAATAAATAAACAGAAGTTTATGTTCCCATTTAAACCTGACTGGACTCAGTATTGTACCAGGTAGGGCCTGGGTGGCGGCAGCGGGAAATAAAGTGGTGGCACAGGGATCAATAGACGGTGAAACGTCCGGGGACCCTGTGTGATTGCCACACCCCCTTCGTTTTGACAGCTTGGGGGAGACTTGGAAGTCATGGGCAGGCAGCACACTGTTCCCCCCCCCATGCACTCCCGGGCTGCTTTCTGGGGGGGGGGGACCTCCCCCAAGCTGTCAAAAGGAAGAGGGAAGGGAGGAAGGCTACTGGCAAAGCGGTGCTGTTCCCTCCCCCCAGGAAGCAGTCCGCCCCCATGGACATCTCACTTCCTGAGATTCTCGCCGTGGTGCCCCCCCCCCCGGGACACTTACCCCATCTCCGGGTACACAGCATGTGCACCACTCCTGCTGCCGGAGCAGCTAGCTCCGCCTCTGCCCTTCATATCTGTGTTAGGATATTGATGTTCCGTTCCACCTTCAAAGGAACAGGCATGATTGTTGTATGTCACAATGTCTGTTTACTCCCCAGTACATCTTGCTGGGAACTTCCGTTTGTGTATAGCTTTTGCCTTATGCTTCCTGCTCTTAGGCATGAAGGAGAGCAGACATGTTTTTCCTTTGTGCTGAATAAACTGCTTGTAAATATGCTTTACATATGCCTCTGTCTGCCACTTCTGTTGTGTGTTATTCACTCTGCTGGTTAAGGCGTGCTCAAGTTTCTGAAGGCTTCTGAAGCTGTGAGTCGCCGTTTGATGCTGTTCCAAAGGACTGGCGTTCTCCCGGCTGCCGGCCGGTGAGCTGGAGCCAGAAGGGGGCCTGCGAATTGCCCCCGTTCCTTTAGTCACATCCCAGCAATCAGAGCCGGGGTACTCAATGTGATGCCCTCTGAGTGTTTTTGAATTACAACTCTTATCATTCTGACCATTGGCCAATTTGGGCCTGATAGGAGTTGTAGTCAAAAACATATGGAGGGTACCAGGTATGAGGAGGTTGTGTTCCACCAGGTGTGTACCAGTTGTACTGTGTGTACCCACAGCCATGGTAGCAGCTGTTAGGAGCTCGTCCTACTCTCAAGTAGGACCCTGGCAGAAACATATGCCCAACTGGCATGTTCCCTCCCTCCTGGTCAATTGTTCAGGAGCTTCAAAAGCTTTCTTCAGCCCGAACATCACAGCGACTGATGCCAACAGACATTGGCACACTTAGGGATCTGCAGAATCTTCGCAGCTTGCATAACAGACCTCGGCAACTCAGCATTTTGGCTAATCTACTTTATTTACATATAAACACACACGGAGCACTGCAACATGGCTCCCTCCCTCTCTAGCACCAGAAAGAACAAAGGACAATAGTCCCACTTCATGGAACACAGTAACACAAACATCCTGTCTCCGCCACTTCCCACTCTGTGGAGCCAAAACGTACACCATCATGTGATAGACAACAATCCCATGACTGCAATCGTGGAGCAGGAATTCTAACAGCAGCAACACCCCCTTGCTAACCTCACTGCCTGGTTGCCAGGCAGCCATTCTAGTGGCAGTGCCACTCTTGATTGGGGATCAAGTTTAGCTGTGGTGGCTGTCCAGCATCTTAAATTACCCAAAATGCAAAGCCCCAGACTATAGATCCATAAAACATAAGCAGAATGGGCCCTTCTGAACCCCAGGAGCCCTTAATGCCTGGCTGGCTGGCTGCTGGCCCGTTCTTATTCTGTGAAACAGTATTTTAAAAATTACAAACTAAATAAAACAATCCTCCAAACATCAGAAGCGGCATCTTCCATAATCGACCCAAACCTATCCCCCCCCCCCCTCTCTTTCCTTTCGGCAGTATGGGACAAAACTAAAAGCTATGTTTCTGTCCTAATGTGTTGTCCATCATTACCGATGCCGAGCGCACGGTGTGATTATCTTTTTCTGTTTTTTGACTTTCCGTTTCAGTGCTGCTGGGGAAATCCAAGATCAGTTCCTGACTCACAACGTCTTTATTATGCACCCATAAATCATGCATGGAAAAGCTCTGACAGCTGAGGATGTAAACGACCAGGAAGCTAAGCCCTCAAGGCTTGTAAAGAAAGAAAAAAAATCTGTGTTATCTCTGCTTCCTTTTTTATTTTTGTATGGATAGTGTTGTCTTGGCCTTCTCCAGGAAAAAAGACTCCTCTCTCTCCCCATTGTCCTCCCTGTCCTTCATCTGACATCTAAGCACCCTTCACACAGAGATGAATTCTGCAGGAAACTCTTTTGACAAGAGCCTTCTCGCAGGGACCAGAATCTTATATACTGTGTCGGAAAAATTCTGGGTGCATATTTACTCCACTGCCCAACTCAGCAAAAGAAGGAATCTCCAGCCAAGTAAAGAAGCAAATCTGCAGTCAGTAGACCTGATCTTTATTGTTGCAACAAGGTTCAAACACACATGGAGTAGGAAGCCCAAGCATGGGGTTGCGTGGACTTTTAAGACCTTCCCTCCCTTCCCATAATCCATTTCCAGATACATCATTGATACATCACCAATGTGTCACCAAGAAGGAGGGGATATTGCGTGGTCCATCATTCACCCCGTTATCAGAGTCAGTTCCCGACATCTTCTAAGTACCCACCACCAAGAGAACAATTAAACAATTTACACCTATCCTTGGCCTCTGGGCTTTCCTGAAGATGGGCTTTGTGAACACCTGGCTTCAGCAAACTCCATCAATGGATATCTGTCTGGTCCATTGTTATCTTTTCCCCACTTTCTGGGGAGGGGTGAGGTGTACGTGACTCAATGCCTCAGGGATTATGGAGGTAGGGGAAGCCCTGGATTCCCCTCTTCCAGAGGAGTCATTTGCCATTGGAACCAACGAAATGGGTCAAACCGTTGAATTTTGGTGATTAGTTGATTCTATATTGGATAGTTGGAGGAAACAGTTGGTATCCACTTATTGCTAGAGTTTTATAGACTACTTTTTAGAGGCTGTAGAAATTGGTGGGGTAGGCAAAAGAAAGCCACTTCATATGATCAGTGTGTGGAATTAGCAACCACAAAGTATTGCAATGGCCATAGGCTTAGATCAGGCATAGACAAACTCGGCCCTCCAGATGTTTTGGGACTAAAACTCCCATCATCCCTAGCTAACAGGACCAGTGGTCAGGGATGATGGGAATTGTAGTCTCAAAAACATCTGGAGGGCCAAATTTGCCTATGCCTGGCTTAGATGTTGGGTGTTGAGTGCCAAAGGCAGCTGGGGATGCTGGCTGTCGGGTATAAGCAACAGGTGACAGTATGGAGACTAACAGGGGAAAATAAACTTGGTGGTTTCCCACTAAATCCACAAGCTCTGGCTGCCCACCCCCCTCTCTCTCATGTTCTGCCCCGCTCTCTTGTACATGAGACAGCCATGAGAAACTAGCTCCACCATGTAGGCTTAGAATGCAAATCCATCCACTTGTACCCATATCTCCAGTCCAGAAAACGTAGGTGCCCCTTTAGATTAACAAGCTCAAGTCCAATATAATGGTGGAATTTTCTCTTACTTTCCCCTCAATTACCTGCAGTCTTTTTCAAGAGGTGATCTGTTGAATATTTCAAAACTTGTGTACATTGCCTTTTATCAGGCACCTGCAGAGTCTTACACACACACACACACCCCCTTGTTCCCTGATACGCCACATTGCATTATTACCAGCTGACATTTCGCAAAAGGCCATTTTTCACACTTTAGATTCTGCACACCTTCTGTGATCACCAATTGCTCCGTGATGTTCAGATTGGAATCTGCGCTGTTGTACAATCCACAAGGCCTGTCCCTTGTCTATCACTGCTTACGATGCAGACTTAACCTTGCTCTGCGGGAAAAGCACGGAAGAAGGCTTGCTGTGGAAGCGTCAACAAAGAACAAGTAGTCAGTGCCATCCTCAATGGGTCTACTCAGAAGTAAGCCCGACAGAGCTCAATGGGTCTTCCTCGCCACTGCATTACGGGGTAGCAGCAGTAGAGAGGACTGGGTGTTCGTCTGAAGCATCTTTGAGTGCTCAGGGAACACAAAGACCCCAAAATGGACTTGGAAGCTGCATGTCACAAGACATTATGGCAGCTGAGGCAGACTCCAAAATGGTGCTCCCAAAATGGGAATAAAGAATGAGGGAACATCTAAAGCAAGCATCCCCAACCTGCGGCCCTCCAGATGTTTTGGCCTACAACTCCCATGATCCCTAGCTAACAGGACCAGTGGTCGGGGATGATGGGAATTGTAGTCCAAAATATGTGGAGGGTCAAAGGTTGGCGATGCCTGATCTAAAGGAACAAGGAGGAAGAAAAATCAATATTGTGATCTGCAGGGGCGTAGGAAGGGAGTGGGGGCGGACTGCCCTGGGTGCCCTCACTGAGGGGGTGACATTCGGCACACCACCCACCCACGACTCCCAAGCCTACCCCGAGCCGTTGGGGTAAGGGCAGAGCTGCGCCGCTTTGCTGGCAGCATCCCCCCTGTGATGGCCTGGGATTCGGACTCGGATGCTGAACCTGAGGGATCCCAGCCTGCACAGGAGTCCCCGCCTCCAGAACCAGTTGAGCCGGGGCTAGGGCATGAGCCTGAAGGGTCCTCACCTGTGCTGGGTCCTCAGATGCAGGCATCAGCTGAGTCTGCTCTGGCTCCTGAGGTGATGGAGGACCCATTGCTTGCAGGTGCTCCACTCTCAGCCCCGTCAGAGGAAGCTGATGTTGCCTCTGGGTCCAGTAACCCTCCAGCCTCTCCTGAGCTGCAGAGGCTCAGGGAAGAGAGGTGGAGGGAACTAAGTTCCCACAGGAGGAGTGCTCACCTCCAGGCCAGGAGAGGCGAGTCACCAGAGGATCGGGGCCGCCCTATGCCTCGGGGCAGATAAAAGCTGGCCAGCCCCAGTCCCAAGTTGCGGGAGTAACATTGTTGGTTGCTACTTCCTGCCTGAACCCTGCCCTGGCTCCCTGCATGCAAGCCTGCTCCTGACTTCACCTGACTCTCTGCCCTGCACCCAGCTTCAGCTACTACGGACTGCCTCCACGTTGCACCTTTGACCACACACTGGACTTGGACCTCACCTCTCGGGTAACCCACAGGACCAGTACACCCCCTTTCCCCTTCATTTTGACAGCTTGGGGGAGGCTTGGGAGTCATGGGCGGGTGGCACGCTGAATGTCCGCCATGGGTGGCTCGCTCCGCCCCCGGCTGCGGGCCGCGCACGACCCTGCGGGCCGGGCACCCGAGCACTATCCCACGCCTGGGAGGGCACCCTCCATGCCATGTCCCCCTCGGGTGTGTGCCCACCCTGGGCAGCACGGGCATATGTTCTGCCACTGGGTGGTTGAGGTGGTTGCCTAACCTTGCCTCATGGGTAGATGTTTATTCATTGCCCTGGAAAGGAGAATGTTGTCCCCTCAGCACTACTCCTTACGGGGTCCTTGCTGCGGGATCACATTCATCCAGTGCTTTACCAGCTGCACTGGCTCCTGGTGGAGTACAGGGTCAGGTTTAAGGTGCTGGTTTTGACCTTTAAAGCCCTATGCGGCCTAGGACCCACATACCTACGGGACCGCCTCTCCTGGTATGCCCCGCGAAGGTTAGGGCAATAAGGAAATTCCCTTATTCCGAATAGGATTCCTCGCAAGAAAAGGGAAAAGTTGACAGCTATGGTCAGATGGGCTGGGTATAAATAGTAAAATCATCATTATGGAATGGGACATCCCTATTTTCACTGGAGAAATGTTGGAGAGTATGGAAGTACCCATTATATCTGTTGAATCCACTGAGATTTCTCTATACCACTCCGCTGCTCATTCCTTCCACTTGATGGGATATCCACACACCTCAGTTTAGTGAGCAGCTCTGTGCATGCATGTTTAATTTCAGGAAGAAAAGGGAGACTGTAAGGGAAATCAGTGTAAAAAAAATACAGCAAGACCCATTTGTGAACTTAATATTTGATGAGAGACAATTCTTCTTACGTGTGGTGTCCTTCAGAGCTGTTAAGATCCGATTTCCCTTGATCTTTCCGGAGGTGATTCCAGGCTTTGCCGTTCAGAAACAACATTTGTAGCAGGACCTGGAGGAAAATGAAAACTGATCTGAAATCTGCCTGAAAGCTGGCGTTCTCAGCCAAGGCAATTTAGCAATTTAAAACTGTTGTTCTTGCTCCATCCATACATTTATTCCAAAGTCTTGCACGCCGCCTTTCAAGACAAAACCTGTCCAATTATAGGGCATTTAATTATTATTTTACATTTGCATCCTACCTTTTCCTCCAAGGAACTGAAGGTGGCACACATACTTCTCCTACTTCCTGTTTTATCCTCACACCAACCCTGTGAGGTAGGTTAGACTAAGAGCAGGCGACTGGTCACCCAATGAACTTCCTAGCTGAGAGGAGAATCACACTCTGCACACCCACGCCCCCTTCCACAACTCCAAACACTAGGCCACACTGTCCCTGAAAAAGAAAAGCAATACATGTGGATAAATAGGTTACATTTATTAACATATAACAACTTGAGGATCTGCAAAACGAATGAACTAGTCAGATTCAGCCAATGTAACCAAATCAACTTAGGTCTGGGCAGGTGTTCATTAATAGACGGGGATAATTTCTATTTGTATCACCTGGGCAAGTTAAGAGCCACAAACTGTGTGCCTGCAGCAAGGTTTCCTCAAATGAAACCTATGGGACCGCCTCTCCTGGTATGCCCCGCGGAGGACCTTAAGGTCCACAAATGACAACACTTTGGAGGTCCCAGGTCACAAGGTGGCTAGAATGGTCTCAACTAGGGCCAGGGCCTTTTCAGTACTGGCCCTGACTTGCTGGAATGCTCTGTCACAAGAGACTAGGGCCCTGCGGGACTTGACATCTTTCTGCCAGGATGGTGTAGTGGTTAAGAGCGGTGGACTCATAATCTGGTGAACTGGGTTCGTATCTCCACTCCTCCACATGCGGCTGCTGGGTGACCTTGGGCTAGTCACACTTCTCTGAAGTCTCTCAGCCCCACTTACCTCACAGAGTGTTTGTTGTGGGGGAGGAAGGGAAAGGGAAATGTTAGCCGCTTTGAGACTCCTTTGGGTAGTGATAAAGCGGGATATCAAATCCAAACTCTTCTATTTCTTCTTCTTCTTCTTCTTCTTCTTCTTCTTCTTCTTCTTCTTCTGCAGGGCCTGCAAGACAGAGCTGTTCCACTTGGCCTTTGGTTTGGACTCAGCCTGACCCTTATGTTTCCCTCCCCTTATGGTTTTGATCTATGGGCTACTTTTAAAATGAGGCTGCATTTTAAATTGCATTTTAACCTGTATTTTAAATTGGGTTTTTCCCCCTATTATGTTTTTACTGTAATTTTACTGGTGTTAGCCGCCCTGAGCCCGGCTCTGGCCGGGGAGGGCGGAATATAAATAAAATTTATTTTATTATTTATTATTATTATTATTATTATTATTTTATTTATTATTATTAAATTCCTCCCTCCCTGCTTTGTGGACCTTGGGTGTAAGAGCCCAACACGCGCACTGTGGCCCCATCGGTCAACGTTCACCCCAATGTCTCTGTCAGGCCAAAGGGCACCCCACAGCAGTAGCAGACCATGCCTGACCACAGTGACTAAGGAGTGCCCACAAACCAACACTGTCTCAGGTA